TTAAAACATATTTGTTTTTGTGTGATGAGAATTTTTGAGTGTTTTTATTTTTTTAGTTTGTTTAAATTTTAACTCAATAAATAACAGTAACTTACCCTAGTTTTAAGAATCACCCTGTATAAAAGAATCCCCCTTACCGTGTTATATAATTTTTTACAAATGTAAATCGTAAATCTTTTAACATACCAAGCCAATAAATAACAGCCTAATATTGTTGATAATAAAAATAAAGAATACAAAAAAATGATATGATTTCAATGATCAAATCACATTTCGCAATTCTCTCTCTCTCTCTCTCTCTCTTTCTCTTACGTCATCAATAAAATACGATCATATTTCAATACGGGCATTTACGAATGTTCTAAAAATAGTACGTAGAAATAGGAACGTTAGAGGTATCTTCAAAGCTCTTCATATTTCACTAGGCAGTTTTGCTCGGGTGGTATATATAAAAAAAAACTGTAATGTAACGTGATACGACCAGATATGGAAGGTTTCTCTCATAAAAGAGATTTGCCGCTTCGAAGTAATAATCGTAAAGGTGGGCATATATATTTATGAAGACTGACGGGAATAAGAAAAGATGAATATGTGGGGTGAAGGGTGAAGAAGGATCATACATGAGCTAGAAATTCGGTAAGGGCTTACGGATAATTGGGAATCGTTTTCCGGACTATGAACTACCAACCTCGTTGAATACGATCCATTGCTTTTATAACCCCATATGTATTATTATAAGCCTTGTAATTGGTGAGGGTTGGTCTTGTGATAATAAATTCGATCCCTTTTAGTTCAACGTGAAGTATAATGATTAATATCATTCCAACTGACTACTATAGGTTTAATTTCAAACGTGAATAAAATATTATGGTATATATTATTCAGATCATTTTTTAATTCAATAAATTGTACACGCTCTTAAAGATAAATATTTCAATATTTGTAAATATAATTGTTTGACAATTGAAATAAATTGAAGAAAATAAAATTTTTGTTGTTATAACAATAACAATAACTCTAATTTCGTTTGATTTTATTCCTTGAAATGTTGGAATGTTTAGGAAAAGTAAATTTGATCAATATAGTTTATATACATGGGTTTTTATAGCCACGTATTATAGTTCATTGTGTGTATATTATTATTTTCTTTTTTAATAGTTAATTGCGCTAATTATTGTTCAATGTTTGATAAAGCTTGTGCATCGGTTGTTTTATCTTTTGTTTTTTTATACTATTTTATATTAAATTCATATTTTTAAAGTATTTGGGGGATGGTATTTGGCAAATTTTAATGACATTACATTAATATCATGTTTTATCTCTCTTTCTCTCTTTTTCTCAGAATATCTTGTTGTAGGAGGGTTGTCAGTAAACACATTTAGAATATGTTATGACTCGTGCATAAATTCGAATAGAATTCAAACGACTTGATAATATTGAACAAAATTATTGCTGACCAATCACTCACCTCTGCCATTTGCGTTCTTCATTCTGAAACAAACAACAAATAAATTAAGAATTTTAAGCAATGGAAGCTACATAAATTATCTTCAGCCAAAAATGAAGTTAATAACTTATGATTGAACATAGACGATTTATAAATCAGCACAAAACTTTTGGTCAACCCAATATTATATGTTACACTGGATGATAATATTCAATTACAATTAGTATGCGTAAATCAATTTTTATTTATTTCACACTATTATTATTCTGACATATTATGTGAGTTTTATTGTCCGCCGACATGTAGTCCGCCATTTTTTTTTGACTAGATGGCACTAAAGTCGCATAATTCTTAAAATACTTATTAGATCGTATCATACTAGCATGCGTTTGAAAGATGACATATCACAGATTAATTAAAAAATCAAGTGGGAAATGTTTTTGATAATCCAAGGATTGATTCATAAAATAACCAGTTATTACATAAAACAATTATACCGACCGGATAAAATATGAAATAAAACTGAGTCTCATACATAACCTAGTTAATATAACAATTCTCGAGAGACGAGTAGTTAAAGTATAAAATTACAATTAAATCCACCTTTAAGATTAATTTCCACTTACACAATAATCATTTAAATATTTTTCAGTCTCTTTTTGTTTTAAACAAACGTTAAAGAAAAATCTATATATATTAGTCTTAAATAAAAGTTTAAGCTCGACGAATGAAAAGATTTGTTCTCTTCTATGAGTTTTCTTTTCTTCCTTTCTTATTTTTCTTTTTCTTCCGTTTGCCAGTCACCTGGTGGATTCTCACCTGCCTCGATCTAGTTAGCGGCTAACGCGTTTATATTCCATCTTCCTTTTTCCTCAAATCAATCTTTCTCTTTCTTACCAATGAATCAGTAAAAGAAAGAAAGAAAGAGAGAGAGAGAGAGAGAGAGAGAGAGAGAGAGAGAGAGAGAGAGAGAGAAACACTTAATCGAGAAACGATCGTCTCTTTCGATTTCCAACGGATTCAAGAGATAGGTAGGTGGTAATTTAAGGGAATCGCACGGCTTACCGACTACTCGTTGCGAGAATAAAACCACGATCGTACTCCTCGTGAATCCGTCGAATCGTCGATCCGTATCGAACTGCTCCATTGCTCTTCCTCCTTACCGTGTGGTTTTTGAGACGATCGAACGAGAAATTGGATCGCAAGACATTACATCCGGATTTCGAGTTGAGCGGCTTTGAGCGGCTTTTCGTTTTTATCGAACCGAATGATCGTTTCTTTCAAACTTATTCCTTTTCCCTCTCTCACTCACTCTTTTTCTTTCTCTTTGTTTCTTTTTCTTTTTTCTCGCTCTCTGTGTTTTACTATTTGCACGGAATATTATTATTTTTCTTCAGTGTTTTAGCATCATTCAAAAAAATACGAACTTAACGGTCAGGTATGACTGATTTTTGTGCGTTCAAGTTTGGAATATTTCTGTACAGTTGCGTCGTACAATTCAATTATTCAATTTAATTGATTAACTCTTATATTAGGACAATCTGTTCACGTTGGTAATCTTCAATGTTTGCATTTATTTCTTTCAATGTAAAATAATGTCATAGAAATTTGTTTATAATTACCTGCGACAATGTAGAAGTGTGACCATAACGACTGCACCGATTCCTGCCGAGACTAAGGATACTATTACTAAAGTCAAAACCCATCCGATTTCTCCGGAAGCTTCTGTAAAGAAAAGAAACAATTATTAATAATATAACAAGTTCATGTTTAACAGGTAGTTCAATTATTATTAATATAAATATAAGTCAACGACTTTATTATGTTGAATTACTAATTCCTGTTAGATCATTAAAATCAAGCAACGTGGGCATGATTAGTAAAATGGATGGGTGACCTTTTCGGTAAAACCAAAAAAAAATGAAACTATAAATTTCCCCTGTTTCATGTGCTGTTCATCCCCTGTTCATATGTTTTCCCAAAAACCTTTCACTTTTTCGTGTCGCTCGAAAATTTTCGGTACCCTACCGAAAAACTTTTCGTTAAAATGTCTAAATAAAATATTTCTTTAATAAAATAAAAGAGTAACTGAAGAGAGATAAACTTTTCCTTATTGTTAAATTCGATCAGAAACAAGACGATTGGTTATCAATCCAATGGTTATTTTCCCCTATTTTACTTTCCTTAACGTAATCTCGTGAAATCTCTTATCCATTTCGCGTAATCTTTCAATACCGAACAATCACGTTCTGCCACAGTGCATCACTCTCACTGATTGTGAGTCTTGAACACCGTCAAGACTTATTCTCAGGGATGATCTCGAATAAATCGAGGAACGAGGCACCAACGCATTACATTCGCACCTGCACGAAGAAAGGCGCCCGTAATTGGCTCGTATAGCCTGTACTCACCGCGTCCGGTATTCTCTCACAGCAGGGATTCCGTAGTTTTATTACACATCCTTCGATATTATTTCTGCGGTACACCTACCGAAAGCATCCTTTTCTTGACTTTTCTTTACCCATTTCTTTTTATTTTCTATCTCATTTTGTTTTTTTATCTTTCTTTTTTTGTTTTTAGATTTAAAAGGAATCATTTAATTATAAACATTTTTTACGGTTCCTCGAAGAAGGTACTTAATTAAGAGAATCCTATTGAATTTATTGCTCGGTAAAGCGAATAGAAAGATATAAATAAAGAAAAGTAAGATTAAACAAAGTAGATAATTATTCAAGAATATAAGTACAGTAACTTTGGAAATTATTTGGAAATTATGGCTTTATTATATTTATTGATTCATATTTTGATTATTTATCTGTACTATCACAACTGTAAAACAATCCTGATGAAATTCTGGTTATTGTTTTTAGCAATTAATTTTGATAAATATATAATTGAGTTTTATTATTTATATAGACAACTGGTTTCAGTTATTTTACCATTTTATAAAATAATAGAAAGTTAACTTTATTTGTTCAACAAATATTCTTATTATGTGTACCTCTACCTTTACGATACCTAACCTGAAAATTATTTTCTTTTCTTCTAAATAGTCTAAACAAAAATTCACACGTACTTTTCAATACGATTTTATTCTCAAAAATAGAACAAACTGATGTGCATTTTTTTTTATAAAACTCATAACCGATGTAGTTACGAATAAAGTATATTTCGTCTGACATTTTTAAACTATTTTATTTTTAGGTTATTTTCGCAATCTTGTCAAGTTGATTGTCATTTTTTATACTATTTTAATAATAAGATTTATTTGTGCATCTAATATATTAAAAATATTTTCTATTAATTTGATAAGAAAATAATCATTATATAAGACCAGATATGATACTAGCAACTGCAAAAAAGCATGTTAATCAATTCAAATAAAAAGCACAGATTAACATTGTTTTGATCATTAAAAATTTATTATAATGATTTCGAAATCATCGATTATATTATGTTGTGTAATAGAATAGTATAGGAAAAAGAACAGAAATTGAAATTAAATTCAGTCAACCCTTTTAAAAAACGGTTAATCCATTCCGTATTGTATTGTAACAGCATGAAACCCGATGTAAAAATATCAAAGGAATGAAATTCATGCAATATGAGAATTGTCCAAGATTTGTACAAAGTTGTCGCAATTTTTGTATTGTATTATATCGAAAACATGTTTTCAAAGTACTATAAAATGTGTGAGCGTATGAAAGGAAGACAGTAAATATAAAATGTCACGAGCACAGCACGCTACCTCATTTTCTACTTAAGCATTTCCAAGATTTTTAGGTATTGAATTTCTGTCATAATTCTAATAAATATTAATAAATCCTTTGTGCTAAATAACACATAAAAATAATACTAAATAGCACATTAAAAAGAAGTTAAATTTTTTTATTCAGAATTCAAAACTTTCATCCGCGAATGGTGGCGTGCTGAGTTCAATTGCTATTTGGACATAAGATAAGATTATATTATATTATTTCATTATTTCAGCTGTTTATTTTAAAACTGACCTAGGAACATTTTTTCTTTCCATAAAATGTTTTTTATGACAGTTAACTCCAGGTGGTACATGTTACTACAGTTAACAACGAACAACTGACAAATAAATTTAGGTCATTTTATAAATAAACGGTTTAATTATTTTATTGAATAAACTCAACCCTTTTATATTAAAAACTAATAGTAAATGTGTAAAAGTTGCGATAACTTATAATAAGATTCCCATATAGCAAAATACAATCAATCATGAAAACCCTCATTTAATATTAAGTGCAGCAATTAATATTCGGTGCCTTAATATTAAATTATTTATAACTTTGGTTTGAATTGAATAATCGTTCGCCATTTGAGTGACTAAAATCATCGAAATGATTACTTTATAAACAAATACCAAATTTATTTACGAGACATCGAATTAATTGTTGCATTTATTAATAAAAATTATGTTTTCCTGATTTTAAAGGATGCTGAAGAGTATTCTGTATTACGAATTGTTAAAAATTGGCAAGACTATTAATGCTAATCGCTATAAACAACAATTGGTCGAAAACGTTTATTTATTGGCAAAGAATTGTATCCAATTAAATTGCTTTATGACAATAAATTGCTAATAGGTTAGGAAATTCTAGAGCACTCGGCATATAGTCTAACCATAATCTCTTCTTACTATTAATTGTTACGATCGATGTAATATGCATCAGATTTGTCTGATGTACGTTTAAAAAAATAAATGATGAAGTATAAAAATAGGCTGAAAACTTTATCGTGGTAAAAAACGAAACATTTTTTCTCTTTTATAATTCATAAACTGTTTAAAAGATGTCGCTAGGTGGTAGATAATAACCGAAAAAATATATCATGATTTTAATGATCATTGATATTTTTGCAATTAAATGTGTAACGATCAGAAAAATCAAAAAGCGTTTTTTTCGAAATTTATTCATTGTCTACTTAATTAATTTATTTAACTTATTCACCTAATGTAATATAAAATATATATAATATAATATATATTATTAATATAATATAATATATATTATTAATA